TTTTCTGTTGTTTTCAGTGTAGTGGGTGCCCTTTCAGGAAGAGCAGTTTAAGTAAAGTAACTCTCTCAACAGTAGTGAAAACCATCTCATCTGTGAAAAAAGAAGCTGGAAGGTGTTGACGATGAATCGGGAGAGGAAAGGGAAAGTTGATGTGACAGTTTGTTTTTTAAAATTTTAAACTGATGGTAAAAGTAAGTTTTTCAAACTTATGATAAACGTTCTTTTAGAATGTTGTTTTAAAATTTCAGGTGTTTAATAATCCATTGCATCTTATAGTTTGATAAAATAAGCTAGATACAATGCACAAGCTGATGAATGGTAAAAACATGACAATAATGCACCTGTGCTAATACTGACAATCTATCATTCAACAGTCATGGAGCATTTGAGATCAGCATGGGAAGATCACCCTTACATCCTTGCAGGAGCCTTGGCTGTGCCTGTTGTTTACATATTGCACAGGAGAATTTCTGGGTAATTGTATTTTCTAATAGAAATGTGGGCACTCATGCTGGAGACCCAGGTTCAAATCTTTCATGAGTTGATGGAGGTTTTTGCAATCTTAACCGGCAGTTTGCATCGACTGCAGTATGTGGCTTTTAACTTTTTCACGAGCAACTTACTATACTACTTTCATTGATTATTCAATAAATATAATACATTTATCACTTTTTGTTCTAGTTTTTCTCTTACTGCAATTAGTTTGTTTCATTTGTTAATTGACCTCATTATCCCCAAGATTTGTATTATTTAAACTCAGTAAGACCAATTAATAATAAACTACAAACATTCATTGACTGGTGCTCATAGAGAATAGATGGGAATAGCTGGTATGGTGGAATCACTCATGTTGAGCTTTGGGACATAACTAAACAAGTTCTAGTGAACAAGGAGATGAAGAAAAGATGCTGGTGTTAGATAGGACACATATTGAGAAAACCTAAAAACATACTAACTAGAATGTCTTTGCATTATAATGCACAGGGAAATAGAAATAAAGGAAGACTAAAATGGAGATGGGAGCTAGAGAGCAAAGTACAAAACAAAAAAAAAAAAAGATCAGGAGGACAGGGGGCGAGCTGCATGCAATAGTGAAGGATACAATGGCTTCGCGTGAGTTGGTTGAGGGCCTATGCTCCACTGGGGGTTTGAAGACAGAAGAGGAGATAAACGCTTGATGGTGACTTAAAAGTACACACACTTTAGGGTGAGAAGTATCAAAGAAATACCTGCCTAAAACTGAAAGAATTAAACTTTAGGCTCAAACCCCTCCTGTCCAACACTGCCATAAAATCGGGTACACACAGTCAATACAAATATTAAAAAAAATATTGTAAATAATAATAATTGCAACAACAAGTTTTCCCCCTATTTTAAATGTTATTAATGCAGATATAAACAATATATTAGACACTATTGCCTGGCATATTTCAGTGCATCTCATCAGATACATTCTACAGAGTTACATCAGCACATAATGCAATGAATTCTTTTCACAGAAATACACATATCAACATGTCTCTAGTTACACTTGAATCTTACCACTGGAAATTCAAGATTAGCCAGATGGTAGTACCGTTGAATTTCAGTTTACCAAATACTTTTTTCATTTGCAATATGACTGTAATTCTGTTTTGACATCCATTCTGGCAGTATAACTAGCCATTCATAGATCATTTTTCTTTTCCACCTCTTCTTTTTCTTCACCTTTTTTCTCATTTCCTTCCTTCCTTCTCTCCATCTTAATAATCCTTTTATTTAATCCTATTCCTCCTCTTCCTTCTTTCTTTCTAAATTCATCTTCTTTTTTCTACCCTTTACTCTTTAAATGGAATAATATATTCTGTCATTTCAAACTATAACAAACTCAGTCAGATACAAGACACACACAGACACTACACACACAGACACAACAAACACAGACACTACACACAGACACAACACACACAGACACAACACACACAAACACAACACACACAGACACTACACACACAGACACAACACACACAGACACAACACACTAAACATACAGTCAGAAGAAGTAACGGTAGCAGGTGAAGAATTAAAAGAAGCTAGAGCTGTGGAGCAAGAGGAGGAGAAAAAGAAGAAAAGAAGAAGAGGAGAAAAGAAGGAGAAAAAGAAAAAGTTAAAAAAAAAAGAAGAGGAGGAGGAGAAAAAAAAAAGGAGAAGAAGAAGAAAAACAAAATAAAAACAAAAGAAAAGGAGAAGTAAAAAGAAGATGAAGAAGAAGAGAAAAACAAGAAAAAGAAGAAAAAGACTAAAAAAAAGAAGAAGAAGAGAACAAGAGGAGAAAGAAGAGAAGAGAAAAGGAAGAAGAATCAGAAACAGTTCAGAAAAAAAAGAATAAAAACAAAGATAATGATGTTGCTGCAAAATATATTTAAAAAAAAAGAAAAAGAGGAAAGTTATGATAATAACAATGAATGAATTAGCCACCATTATCTCATGTGTAAAGTTAAAACTTTTTTTCTTCCTTTACACAGGAGCTCTCCTCAACCTGAAGTTGAGTGTCCCCCAAACACTGTCCTGTTGTGTCAGGTGCCGCGGGGACCATATGCTCCATCCCTGTCCAACTTTCCAATAAAACTAGAGACCTTCTTGAGAATGGCCAAAATCCCCTACGTTGTAAGTGAAGTTCAGTCTTAATTTATTTTGTGTGCATTGTAGTAATAGTAATTTAATCAATGATATCCTGTTCAATCTTGTTGGACTATAATGGGGATAGTATTTTTTTTGTTTGTTCTTTCTGTTTCTGCACAGGTTAGGATGGAGGTGTATTGAGCTAGTCTGTTATAAGATATTTTGGTTAATAATATCATGCTTGCACGCGCGCGCGCTCACACACACACACCCACACAGGCACACATACATTAGCATTGATGATGTAACTCTTCAAGTCTCAGGGCTGGTGACATTTTTAGATAGTATCTGGTCGGGAAAACAGACAGACAAATTAGATGTACCCCGGATAACTTGGTTTTATCTTCTTCAGAATGACTTAAGTGGGAAGTTCTCCCCTAAAGGAAAGACACCATTTATTATCTACAATGGTGAGGTTGTGTCTGACTCCCAGTTCTCCATTGAGTATCTGAACAAGAAACTGAATGTTGATGTCAACAAGGACCTGACCAAAGAGCAGAGGGCAGTTGCTAAAGCCATTCAGATCTTGGTGGATGAACATCTCTACTGGTAAATATTATCTATATTTACAGAGTTAGCCAGTTGAGTTGACTTGAGTCAAAAATTAACATCACAGCACTTAGGGCATTCCCATATGCACTCCGTCCCCATCCTCAGTAGCCAGCGCAGAGTTCCAGTACAAATGGTGTCGGTCGTAGTCTTGTTATATGTCCCTCTTGCCTTTCCTCTAAGCGAAGTGTTCCAGCTGAACCCTCTGGTCACACCCAGGTGCATCATTCTCTCCAGCCCATAATAACCTACTTTCTCTTCTGACTTCGTTACTTGTTCCCAGAGGGCTCTGACCACATGTTCCTTGTCATGTATCAATTCACCACCCAGCGGTGCAGATCCAGCCAATCTGTCTTCCTACAGAGTTAGCCAAACAATGTATACAATGAGGCATATGCTATCTGCACAATGAAGGTTGGCTGTAATGCATCTGAGTTATGTCTTTCCTCCAAGTTATACTCCTGCACAATGAAGGTTGGCTGTAATGCATCTGAGTTCTGTCTTTCATCCAAGTTATACTCCTGCACAATGAAGGTTGGCTGTAATGCATCTGAGTTCTGTCTTTCCTCCAAGTTATACTCCTGCACAATGAAGGTTGGCTGTAATGCATCTGAGTTATGTCTTTCATCCAAGTTATACTCCTGCACAATGAAGGTTGGCTGTAATGCATCTGAGTTCTGTCTTTCCTCCAAGTTATACTCCTGCACAATGAAGGTGGGCTGTAATGCATCTGAGTTCTGTCTTTCATCCAAGTTATACTCCTGCACAATGAAGGTTGGCTGTAATGCATCTGAGTTCTGTCTTTCATCCAGATACTCCTTCACAATGAAGGTTGGCTGTAATGCATCTGAGTTCTGTCTTTCATCCAGGTTATACTCCTGCACAATGAAGGTTGGCTGTAATGCATCTGAGTTCTGTCTTTCATCCAAGTTATACTCCCGCACAATGAAGGTGGGCTGTAATGCATCTGAGTTCTGTCTTTCATCCAAGGTGTACTCCTGGGTAAAAGAAAATTAAGGTTGGCCTTTACTATGATGTAAAAATGGGTACGACTATGACCCGAATGACACAGCTACTGAGGTAAATTCGTGGGGACAAAATCTCACGAGCCGTGATGCATGGAGGGAGAAATCAGGACTGGAATAAAATTAATGGACAAAATGATTGCAGGTAGGATGAGAGCTGAGAATCTGAGAAGAAGCACACCAGATACTTGCAATGCTTAGAATAGTCTTGAAATCCCATGCTCTAATTGTGATAGACTTTTGTTTAAAGCAAGTGAGTCTTGCTAGTCACACTCGTTATTGCTATGGTTTGTGATTTACATGCCTTCACATAGTGCAATATTTTTGTCCTTTACCTTGAGTGTGGAGCGTCTGCCAGATCACCTTGTCACGTCTGGCAGCACCATTGTCCTCAGAGCATGATAATCTACTTCTTGAATCTAGCACTAGAGCTGAACGCCACAGTGGGAATAAGCAGTTAAAGGATCTGTGGCCACACCTTGTGTCTTGGACAAATGATTCTTGCAGTGTCGAGGTGTGATCAGTTTGCATGTGTAAGCATTAGCAGGTAATGATTACACTGAAGAGGTTATCACATGATATTATCCTTGTCATTGCTTCGCTGTCGAGAGCATGCTTGCACAGCTAGCATTACAGTAGTGGTAACTGGTAGCTTTCAGATATTACAGTTTCTGCATGAGTAGCATAAGCATACAGTGAGTGTTCGTTTAATTTAAGTCTGTATTGCCATATACTGCTGCAGTGAGGGCCTGTCTTATTCCACAGGCTGTTTGGCTACTTCAGATGGGTTCATGACAAGACAGTGAAAATGGTCAGACTTACCATGCCAAACTCATCATTTGTTATATGGCTGATTCGACGCAAATGCAAGGCAGCACTACATTACCAAGGCATCGGCAGACACAGCAAAGAGGAAGTCACTCACATCTTGATGACTGACTTACAGACCTTGGCTGATTATTTGGGTAATTTCTCCTCCTTTTCTTTCTCCTCCTCCTCCACCTCCACCTTCAATCTTCTTGATTTGCTCATGATCTACTCCCATTCAACCCTTTTGCCTATAGCCTGTTAATCATGCCAGAAGAATATGCACCTGACAGAGGAATTGAAACTTGTAGAAAAATTGAGTGTGTGGTTTCTAAAGATGTCATTAGGTGACTGCTTCTTCTTCTTCTTTGTGTTCACCAGCTGTACACTCTGGTGGAAAGTTCTGGTTGTTCGTCCACTTCTGGACTGTAGCCCTGCTTCAGAACCTGAGTATTGCATGTGCATAAGTTTGACAGATCTGATTCACTTGAATGTAGACTGTTGGTTCCTTGCCTCTCAGGCAGACACACTCTGATTCAAAGGAAGCTCCCCAGTTAGTTGACTTTTACGACATGCTTTTGGGTAGGCAGTGGGTCGATTCTTGTTTTCCCTACAATAGGGCTCCGGAACCCACACGGGAAATGAGGTGACAGCAATATCAAACTTTATGTCTCCGTCTTAGGTGGTGCTAGGTTTTGCAATGCATTCGTAACATAGAAAGAAAATGGCGACTGTACTCACAGGGTGTACTCTCAAAGAACAGTGTGCTGTTGTGCATTTTTTTGTGGGGGGCAAAAGGGCTGCTTGCAAAGGACATTCATAAGGAAATGCTTCCTGTTTATGCTGACAAATGTTTATCCCATAAAGCGATGCACAGCTTGGTCAACATTGTTTCTCAAGTATGCTCTAAAATTGTTGATGAAATCCAATCTGGTTGTCCTGTTGAGATTGCAATAGACGCATCCTTTCAGTAGGTGGAGGAGATGATTAGAGTGACAGGCGAGTAGCGGTTGGCTCTGTAGCAGCTGCCATAGGGTGCTCACATGGTTCAGCACACAACATAATGCATGAACAAATTCAAGAAATTGTGCTCAAGGCGGGTACCCAGACAACTGACGGACGAACACAAAATGAAACGATTAGGCTTGTCCTTGCAGCATCTCTGTGGATATGCAAATCAGAGTGCTACATTGCAATGGAAATATCCTTCTTCGTCTTGTGTTCAAATATTAAAGGTTACGCCATCAGCAGGGAAGGTTATGTAGACAGTGTTCTAGGATTGCCAAGGACTGCTTTTAACCAATTTCAGAAAAGAGGTGACAATGTGAATACTAATTCACACTGTAAAGTTCTTTTGATTTTTCATGATGCAATTCAAAGAATATGCCCAGGCCTGCTGACTAGGGGAGTACTGCTCCTACATGACAATGCCAGTCACACATGGCTCGGTTAACTCAGGAGACAATTAACCATCTAGGGTGTGAGCTTTTGGAACATCCACCTTACAGCCCTGACTTAGCCATTTCTACCTTTTTGGTCCAAGAAAACCCACATTGGCGGGATAAATTTCACAAATGATGCAGAAGTTGAATGTGAAATGAAAATTTGTTTCAGAAAACAGAGCACACAGTTATATGCAGCAGGTTTGGGAGGACTAATAAAATGATGGGACAAGTGCATCAGTGTTAAAGAAAATAATGTTGAAAAATAAAGGCACAGTGTATCTGTAAATATAAACAGTTAGCAAATTGTTATCGTCTTTTTATTTTTTTAACAGCCATTTGTGACTTACTAATTGACTTCTCCTTGTATATCCCACTGTAGTTATAAATCGGCATTGCCCCACAACACAAACCAACTTTCAACCTTGATCACCAAACTGTGTGAATTTATTCATTAAACTCTGAAGCAGATGATGTAATGCAATAATCTGTGTTTAAAGTTGAGTTGGGTTGTATTTATGGTACACCAGACATGTCAGTAGGTTATCATGTTCCCCTTTCAACAAAATACATCCACGGTCTGCAGTTAATGGTGCCTGTCCTATGCTAGTTGACAAGACCTCATGTATGTCCGGTGTGCCTCTCATGCCTGCCTTTGCTGACCTTTGCTTCCAATTCTCACATTCTCAGCAGCAGTGTAGATGTGCAGTTTCTACAATCATCACCATCATGTACCATGTCGTGTCTTGCTGTCTCACATGATCACCAAAATCAGGGATCAGGTCCGCACTCTATTGTTGCTCCATTCATATGGCCAGCCATCCTGGTATTTATCTCTTTGGCTTCCCTTTGCTCTTTCTTCACCAGTCTTGCCAGTTGTTAGGAAGTTCTAGAGTCCACTCCTCTTCTCCTCATAACATGTCCAAATAACACTGCATGTCTACATCTAATGTCTCTAATTGGCTGACAATGCAAATCTTGAGTAGGATTGCCTTATATGTGATTCCATTATCCAATCTTCAGACTTGACTGACAACAACAGCATGGTTGAATGTTCTTTGCTACTGTTTCTGGAGTTACCTATGGTTAGTCGGTCAACATTGACTGTCATTGAGAGGCAAAGAATGAATTGGTTTAGCCGTCTAGTGGAAATGCAACCATACCAAACTGCGTGTGAGACTTTTTACAGCAGAAAATCTGGAAGGAAGGTGAGAGGAAGACAAAGAAAAAGACCGATAAATGATATAGATGAAACCTGCAAAAAGATGAACAAATCCATCATCCAAGCCACCCAAGAAGTGCAAGAAAAATGCAGAAAACATCCTGGTATTAGTGAGATGACAAAAGAAGAAGAAGAAGACGAAGAAGAAGTCAGTCAACAGATCCACCTCAACACAAATTAAAGCACTTAGTCATTATCCCTGTGTTTGTTCTGGAGCTCTATTTTAGAGAATAAAGAACAGATCCCCTGCCCCCTCACAAGCATGCAGGAGGGAACTAATCAGGGTTTTTTTTCCTATAAAGTCAGAGAGTATCTGCACGAGAGGCAGGGAACTAACAGTGTGCATGTAAATAAGCCACATCTGTAAAACAGATGTGCACAAAAAACTCAACTTCTGGATCAAGACCAGAATCCAGGAGTGAGTGAACAGCCAGAAATGTCCACAGGAGTTTACAGTAGGTGAATTCTAAGAAGAAACACTCAGTACAAAAGTGCTTGTATCTCCTCCTCAGTAAATCTTTCAGCATGTAGTGGCGTGTCACCATTGCTGTGTTCAGTTCTTCTTGCATAGTGTTCTTTTCTGGCCTCACTCCTCATGACTTACTGTTTTTTTACAGTCTGGTCATAGTTTCAGATTCACAGTCATAACTGACGCAGTGGTATTTCTACTAAAGTATTCACTATGCCAGCCTGGAATGTTGCTCACAATCCCACCACTGCAGTCTTCTTCTGCTTATTTATTTCCTCTCTCATCTGATTGCTCTGGGGAAAAAAAAAGCAAATTCTGTAATGCACCTGACAAGATACAGCAAAATTTGCCACACCATACATAGTACAACATATATTCTTTATATCCTCATTATTTACATTATCATTATTTCAATTATCATCATAATTTTCATTATCATCATGCCTCATGTACATATTTTTATATTTGCTTGGTTCCAGGGGACAAGCAATTTATGATGGGACCCACTCCTTGTGAAGTGGATTGTTCTGTGTTTGGCATCTTAACACAGTTAATCTGGCATGCCAGCGATGATGTCCTTGAAAATCTAGTTCAAGGTAAATGTTAAATCATTACCCAGCTTTTTTTATTCAATGACTGACTCATTGTTTTACTAGTAACCATGGAAATGAGGTGTCTAAGAGAGACTATGGGAGTGACCAGAAGAGATAAAATCAAGAATGAAGTCAAACAAGATAAAGATGGCACAGAACCAATTCTAAATTACAAAGAAATACAGCTAATCAAATGATTTGCTCACTTCAAGAGTATTCCTTGTGATGCTATACCATACAAGGTATATACAAAAAGAGGAGGACATAGAGCAAGAGGTAGGCCAAGAACAAAATGGGAAGATAACATCAGAGACACTCTAAGGCACCACAATGTGTCTATGGTCGAAGCTGCCAGAACAGAAGGAAGCATGACCTTATATCTCCCTCAACATCCCTGAAGTGGAAACGAGGACATGAAGAAGAAGAATAAGAAAACTCATTGTTGCATGATGATGACGTAGATTTGGTCAAAGCCCAGACACGAGCAATGCAGAAGCAGAAATAGATCATCAAGGTCTGGGGAGAATGGTGCAGAGGGAATGGTGCAGAGGGAATTGTGCAGAGGGAATGATGCAGAGGGAATTGTGCAGAGAGAATGGTGCAGAGGGAATGGTGCAGAGGGAATGGTGCAAGGGAATGGTGCAGAGGGAATGGTGCAGAGGGAATGGTGCAGAGGGAATGGTGCAGAGGGAATGATGAGGGAATCTGGTCTACACTCAGAGGAAAGACAAGACCAGCTATTAATAAAACTACTCCTGGCACAATTCGAATTATGACTGTGAGGTGTCTGCTGAAAATTGGGTTAGAGCGCTTATGGATATGCTCTAAGCTCTGTATTATCAGTTTTGAACTCAGCTGAACTCAGTTCTCACATCTTCTATTGTAAGAAATTGCTACTTGAAGCTATAAATGTTTGGGTCAGAGGTCCCTCATTTGGGTTCCTAGGTCCTATTTTGGGGGACAAAAAAAATAGACCCACTTCCACCTGTTGAGAAAGTCAACTAATTAGAGGTGTTTCCTTTAAAGTTCGTGTGCATCAGCCTGAGAGGTGAGGAACCAACAGTCTGCACACAAATAAGCCAGATCGGTTAAATAGATGTGCAGGCAAAACTCTGGATGTAGACCTATCACAGATCTCAGATATGCAGACGACACAGTTCTTCTTTCTACAAGGCTCAGAAAATTAATTTTGAATGTCAAAAAGCACAGTCAAGAAGTAAATCTGTTTCTGAATCTGGAAAAAAAAAAAAAAACTAAAATAGCGACCACAATGAATATAGAACACCAAACCACGTATTGAAATCGACAATGAAGAGATTGAAAATGTCACATATTTGGAATATTTAGGCTCAATAATGAACAACAAGGTTGACTGCATAAAAGAATTCTGAAAAAGACTTGCTTTAGCAGTGTGGAGGCTAAACAGCATGAGAAACCTATGGCAAAGCACCTGCAAGCATGTTGAAATGACAATTTTGAGATCATGCCTCTTTCCCATTGATGTGTGTCGTTTGCTCTCACTTAGTCTCTGATTAAGAAAACTGGGGCTTTTGAACTGAAATGTTACAGAAAAGGTTTTTAGAATACCATGGGCCAAGAAGAAACAAATGTGACATCCAGCGTGCCCTAAGCATCGAGGAGAACTGGCTCGTAAACAGCATCCTGTCACAAAAGCTGGAGTATTTTAGACATGTCAAGCACCATGGTGGTCTGGAAAGAATGTGATGGATGGTGCAGTTACCGGAAGAAACGGGACAGAGACTGATCCCTTGAATGTGGATACATTGAAGATGCATTGGCTGTGAAAGCACATAGGGTTGGAGAATTGGCTAGAGAAAGAGAGACCTTTAAGAGTGCGGTGAAGAGAACGGTGTTCTGTAAAGGACATGCTGATTGATGATGCTGATGATGCAAAACTCGTTCTGGAAAAAGACTACATTCCAGAAGTGTATGAACAACCAGATTCTACACAGGAGTTTACAAGAGTAACCCAGTCTTCCCCACGTGGGATGCAATATTTCGTTATTTAAAGCCCCACCCTGGCTTTTGCAGATGGGCACTGAATATAGCTTGCCCTAGCCCATAAATATGGCCTAACGACTGAAAGGAGTTTCTGGGACCTCTCAACGGGTGATCCGCATCCGCATGATGGCACTTTGTGTCACCGGCTGTTTATCGCTTGTGTGATGTCCTGGCGGGGTAAAATGTACTCAGTTACTTACTTCCAGGAGTGTACAGCTAATAGATGCTAGGAAAAGAAAAAAAATTTGCATCACAAACTTGAATCTCGAGTTAAAATAATACTACCATGGGACAGAAGAATGTAAAGTAAGAACTGGAGATATAGTAAATAAGGGCAAAAACCAGATGGGACTCAAGAAAAAGTTAAGAAACATACAGCAAATCTGCAGAGATAAATAATTGCACTATCTGTTACTTTGTACTGAAAGAATTAATATGGCTGCCACCAGCATCGTCAGTCAGAAAACTCTTCATTGGCTACTGAAGAAGATAGTGTCTGTGTGGAAATGTCTCTCAGCGACTCATCTTCTTCTTCAACATTCTGAGCCCTGAGGTTAATTTCTGCAGATGTCACCTGCCTCCATTCCTGTATGTGACTGGCTATCTATTTCCTCTTGGTGAGTTCAGATGGTTACAAGTCCACTTGAATGCTTTCTATCCACTGTCTTGATGGTCTGCCTCATGGTCTACTACCAGTAAGCTCTATTGTGTAAACATTTGTTGTCTATCTGTTATCTGCCATTCTCTCCATCTGCCCCAACAATCACAGTCCAATAGACCTCATTATGGTGATTTACATAAATTATGAATTTTATTGATGTTTCCGAGAGCAGTGATATTCTTAATTAAATAATTCACTCATTGTCAACAGTCAGCTCTGTGGCTAAGTCGATGCGAATGCTTCGTAATGCCGGGTGCGGGTTTGATCCCAGCTTAGGGCCATGCGTCTTGCGTTGGTTTCGACAGTGGTATCAGGGGGCCAACCGTCCAGAGGGCAATGGCAAACTACTGGACGTAAATTTGCCTAGAGAAACCACACAACAGTCAGGGGCTGCTGGGGTCGGTTCTGCAACGTCCTGTAAAGGATACGCAACTAAGCATTGTCAACAGGTTATAACCCATTATAAAGTAGGAGTATAATGTTTTCCTTTTGATATCCTCAGAGAAGTTTCCCTCTTTGTACGCCTACACTATCAGGATGAAGGAGAGGTTCTGGCCTGACTGGGATGATTGCATCACACATGGGGCTACAAGAGCAGCTACCAAGTAACACAATCGTCACAAATGAGGCTACCAGGCCAGCTACAAAATAACACAATCATCACACATGAGGGTACTAGACCAGCTACCAAAATAACACAATCATCACACATGAGAGTACTAGACCAGCTACCAAATAACTGAGTCAAGTCTATGGAGATGATGTCATCATCATGATTACCATTATCTTTATCATCATCAATATTATGAGAGCTATTCCAAAATCAATATCCGATTGGCTGGTAAAAATAAACTATTTGCCATAGTGACACCAATCATTGCTTGCATCATCACACATCAACCTACAGTGACATGTGTTCAGTAGTTTACGAATTGGGAAAGAATAAACATGGATACTGTCATTGCCTTTCCCGCTGATCTAAAACAAAAGTGTAGAATGCTCATCAGTGGCATCATTATCCTGCACGACAATGCACAGCCCTGCACAAAGCTTATCTTGAGCAGTTTAAGTGGGAGATTTTCAACCAACTCTGGATAGCCCAGATTTAGCATGAAGCCATTATCATCTTTTCATCAAGATGCAGGTCTGACTGGCCACCCAACACTTTGACACTTCCGAAGAACTCATAAAGGGACCCAACAGATGGCCAAGTATCCTGGTGGTGCTGGTCCTTAAAGGTTACAAAAACTCATACCATGGTACGACATGTGCCTGAATTTAGGTAGCGACTGTGTAGAAAAGTAATGCAGTGATGTATGAAACTTTCGTATGTATTTAGATGTTATTGCAGTTTAGTTACATTTTTACCAGCCAATAAAACAATTGATTTTGGAATAGCCCTTGTATTAAAGTAAGAGTCTGATTTGAATGACTGCATCCCACATGGTGATGCTGGAGCATCTAGTAAGTAGCTGAATTAGATCAGTGGTAATGTCTTGACTCTTAAATCATCATTATTATTGTCACTGATTGTTGTGAGATGCTAGAAGAAGTGAGTGATGCCGAGGTAAAGGGTGTGAACTGACTGGATAATGAGAAGGGTGGAAGTACCACATATAATTTCATGTTTAGCGCTTGTACAGATCACAAGTGTACAAATGAAGGCATGTGTACCAACAAGTTTAATCTACTCAAGCAACATGCACCAAAGTGTATCTGACCAGTTGACAGGCGTGAAAATGGCAGTGGAGCTGGCATGGCAATGATGAACATAATCAGTTGTAGATCAAAAGTAGACAGAATGGTGCACATATTGGAACAGTGAAAGAACATTCAATGTGTTTAGAAGTGCATACTGCTAGTCTGTGGTGGACTTAAATGTGTGTTGTCACTGTTACTATTATCGACTGAGACATCAGGATCCAAGGGAGTTTCTAATGCAGCTGAATCAACCCAAGGAAGCTCATAACAGATATCAGCAAATCAGGTGAACAAGAGAAAATAACCTTTTTTTGTGGGAACATACTGCACAAGAGAGGCAGAAGAAGACAGAAACAAATGTGTGTAGAAAGCTTAAAGAAAACTGGATAACAAATAGTAAAAGCAGTATCAGCTTCATACTAAAAGATCTTAACATTGAGGAAGCTCGGCTAGTAAATATCATCCTCTCTTGGAAAGGTGAAAAAATTTCAGCCATATCAAGCACCGCAGTAGAATGAAATAAATAGTGGGAGAATGTATGGTACCAGAAAGGAGGGATAGGAAGGCTGACCAACATGAAGATGGGCACAGGATATATGAGACACTTTGGGTTGAAAAGTGCATGAGACATGAGCGCTGGCATGAGACTGAGTTTCTCTCAGGGAAGCTGAAAGCAATTTTCTGCAAAGTAACTACTACAAGATGAGTATCAACTTCATCAGAATATCAGAGAAGATAATGAGCAGTCATGATTACAGGGGTTTGCAGGTACCACAGGGGTTTGCAGGTATCACAGGAGTTTGCAGGTACCACAGGGGTTTGCAGGTACCACAGGGGTTTGCAGGTACCACAGGGGTTTGCAGGTACCACAGGGGTTTGCAGGTACCACAGGGGTTTGCAGGTACCACAGGGGTTTGCAGGTACCACAAAGAAGAAGAAGAAGAGGATGAGAAAAAGGAAAAAAAAGGAAAAAAGAATAAACAGCAGCATCAGATTCGAAACTATACCAGCTTGCAGGCAAGCAAACACAAGCAAAGTTGTCACACTATTATGACTAGTGATATTATTGCTTAAAACAGCTTTTTTTGTTTGATGTGATCCCTAATGTGATATAATTACACATGTGTCTGAGAAGAATTAATGAACAATCAGACATTAATCAATCGTTTTATAAATTATTTCAGCACATGTTTATTATACTTTCAACTCTTCTGATCTAAGATGTATTTTTTGTTTAATTTTTTTTATTTAATAAAATAATGGATTTTATAAACTAACATTTCTGATATAAAAAGTAAACCTTCTTGCAGAAGAAAGCCGTTTTTTTTCTGGTTTGGTTGACATAATTGTCTTTTAAAAGTATGCCTGTGTGACAGCTTTGGTACTGCATGCAATTACAAAGTGTGTAAGCATGGTAGATATGATTATATATACCCTCAAAATATTCTGTAGATATTATTAGGGTTGGAAAAAATAGATATTTAAAAGCTGTGGATTTACTTATAATTTTAATATTTTGCCACATTATTCTCTGCACCAATTTCTAGAGAGTGTTTTTTTAAAGATTGTATGTTTTGAAAATATTGCCAGTCCTATTTTTGTAATCACAGTATGTGTAGTTAATGCAACATATAGTGGGCTATTTTGGGTACTGTTTTCCACATGACAGCTCTGTTCAAAATATGTGTTGGTAATATCTAGCCTGGTTTATATGAAAATTACTGATTTCCTGGGACTGATTAGTATGCTTTGTTGGATGATGAGGCATGTTTCTTCAGACACAGATGGTCTGCCAGGGTGGCATACACCATGAACACTACCAGTGTCATGAAATATTTTTTCAATTAAATTGCTAACAGTATTAGGATTAGGCACCTGAAAATCAGGAAATGACTTTATAAATTGTTTTATCAACTACATTTGAATACCTCCACTGTTAAGGAACAAATGCTCAGCCAAAATACTCTTTTTTCAATGGTTAACACTATTATTGTTGAGATCAATTACAAAAACACTGGTAAACAGCAGGGATATTCTAAACTAACAGCCAAACATGGTGCTTGGAACATAATGTAATACACAAGTTTAATTATGGTATGCAAATAACTGATTTCAAAAAGTCTCCAGTGATTAAACATACACCCTATATTTTCTGAAGTATGCTGTGTGAGTCCATTACAGTGACAACATTTTGGGACTACTCCTTTCCAGCAGAGGTTACAATTACAACAGAAACAGGTACAGGTATTGGGGAGGCCAGCATTCTTTGGTAGGCTTTGGTGAAATGCTCATCATGTTACTTTCTGAGCAATCTTTATTAACCCTTTCAGTACCAAGGAACTCGCCATATGTTCATTGGTTACACTGTACTGCATATCGGTAGTCTGCAACCCTTTTTCAGGTCATACACTCCCTTGAATATTTGGCAACACCCCCCCCCCCACCCCCCACACCCTCTTCCTCTTTTTTTCCACCAACATAAACATATGTGATTATAAGTAGATTCCACAACAAGAGAAACAGACAGTATGGAGATATGTTTTCGCCAGAATGTGTTTTAAATCTATAATTAAATGTATAAATATATTTGTAACTGAAGATATAAAAACTTCTTATGAAAACAAAAAATGTCTTTAGTTTTTGTGTGTTATAAATAGTGTAAATTTTTTGTTTTTTAATTTATAATTACAGATCAAAAAATTTTTTATTGAATAGATTATTACAAATAAATATGTACTCAACGTTACAGTTGCTTGACGCCCCCTTGAAACCTCTGCATGTCCCTCTGGGTTGGAGACCACCCCTATATATTGTTCACATTTTTTAACATTTCCTGTCTCATTATTATTTTATTATAAAACCTACTTTTGCAATTGTTATTGTAACACCTGCTCTCCCAAACCTATATAATTTTTTTTTCTATGAGGTTTAAACATAATTCTGGGATCAAAAGAGTTAATAACCCCAGAAAACCACTTTTACTGATACAAGCAACACTTCAAATAATGCAGCATATACTTTATTTATTTATTGGGTATGGCATCCCAAAGTCATTTAGACAAATTAAATCAACATGAATGCCATGAACACAGTGCCTCTCGAATGGAAAACCAGCTTTCTAACTGCTTGGCTAGCCACTGTTAATGTTCCTGTATCATGTAGCAGGTCCTTTGCAGAATGTCGCGCATCACAATCTACCTGAAAGAAACTTGATTTCCACCAGCTCTCCTGCCTCATGCTCTTTCTACCCGAGTTGTCACTTATAGCGTGTGCCCATCATTGTGGCGGTCAGCCCCTGTCTCTTTTTCTGTAATTGTTTTTTTTTTTAACAATCCACCCTAGCTTTTGATATGACCAAACACTTTTCAATTTCCAAGAGTAGATGCTGTTTCTTGACAATCTTCCATGACGTTCAGATCTTTTAAGTGTCAATATTTCTTCTCTTCTTTGTCCCTGGTATTCTATGAATCTTTTCATAGCATTTCAGCTCAAAAGCCTCTATTTTCTTTCTACAGGACTGAGATAGTCATGACTCACATCCATATGTCACTACACGGAAGACGCGTGCTCTCTCAAATTTTTTACTTTGATTTCCTTGCTAGTCCATAGGCTTTCAGTATTGTTTAAATTTTGCTATGGCCATCCTCCCTTTGCCTTCTGTTGAACAGTCTCCATTGATGTTTATTATGGAACCCAGAAATTCAAAGTTTGTGCCAGTTATATTTCTTCAGCATTTATTGTGGTGACAGGCATTTTTGACGATATGGGCAAGCTTTATTAGAAAATGCTGGATAACACTTTTCACAGATAGAAACAATACTTCAAATACTGCAACAATGATTTCAGATTCTTTGTGAGTATGGTTGTCTTAAGTATTTACTTTTAAGAATGGTTTTCTGAAGTCTTTTTATTTTTAAGTATAGTCTGTTGAGACATAACTGTGAACAGAATTAACATGGTTATCAAGCTACATTTGTATGAACAATGAAGTTATATAATCAGCACAGAAAGGAAACCCTTCATTGGCTACAGAAAAAGGGCTGGAGCGCTTCTGAGAATGTGCAGAGTGTTATGACATGAGGTTCTGATTTCTTTCCTAACGAAAAAAAGTAACTTTTTTTATGAGTGTATCTGTTATAAGGCCCTTGGATATATCAGTTTGAATCAGTAAGTCAGTCTTCAAGCAATAATAAATCAATGAATGAGACAGATCAAACAACAAAACCAATCAATATAATCATTCATTCACTTATGTATCTTGTAAAATCTTCCTTATATTGAGTTTACATAAATCAATGTGAATCAGTCAGTGTATCCATTATTAATCAAAAATAAATCAATAAATAAAATGGATCATCAGCAGAATCAGTCAGTAAACTCATTTACTCAATCCATGTATCAAGTACCACTTTCTTTGAATAGCCTTTACATACGTTGATTTAAGTCAGTCCATTCTTAAACCAAATTTAAACAGGCCAATCAAAGAAAGCAATCAGGTAATGTACCAAATACAATCTACACAACCAAATCGACTGCAATGGATCTCTGATTGGTTTTTACATTGTGAAAGACTGTTGTCTGTATATCTTTAGATATGATCACGCTAGAGGGAAGGAAGACATAACCAGTAGAACCCTATTTAAAAAAATGACAGTGCCCTCATTGAATCTTGAAGATCGACTGACTTGTTTTTCTTGTTAAGTGAAGGTTTGATACTTTGAGAACATCAAATCTGAAAACTCGTTCAGAACTGAAAGAAGTTATAATAAGATCATCCATATCAGCCACATTGGACTGGTTTAACCTCAGTTCTTTGCAGAGGATAAATTATTGTATGTGGAATCTTGATAACTGTCACTCTTCAGAAAACAACAGAAACACAGAAGGATGTAACTACTAAAATTATAATTGTTGCTATTATCAGTATAATAAGTATTATTAAATTCAACACATCCTATAGACAGACATCACAATTGCTTGTTTAAATGAATATATTAAAAACACCATTCCTGTTTATCCATATAGTTACATTCTTGGTACATTTATACTTTAGTACTCATTTAGCAATTCAAGGGAAGTAACTACTGTTTTTGTCTGCCAAACAAATAGTTTCCCCTGGCGTTCTCATCAACGGATGTGAAATATTCTCTCCACAATTGCTCGAAGTCAGCCTTGGACAGTTTTCTGTCTGGTACTCCCTGCAACAGATTTTAGTTGTGTCAGTCAGTTGAGATCAGAAGTCATCAACAGATTAATTTTGTTGCAAAAAATCTAAAAAAAAAAACCTAATTATTTTTCCTCAAAGATGAAAGGACAATGACCAGCCCTTCAAAGACGCGTAGATCTTATCCTGTACCCTTTTTTAATTTTTTGTTCTTTTCCCACCCTGGCTTTTTGCCCAAAGACGGCAATGACCAGCCCTAAATGTGGCCAATTGTCAGAACGGGTTTCTGGGACCTCTCCATGGTGATCCTCATCCGCGGGTGTCTCAGTTTATCGCTTGCGTGATGTCCTGATGGGGTAGAAAGTCAGTCAGTCGCGTAGATCATGGGTGCTGAGACCCTTCTAGTCAATGGTCCGCCCACCCCTTTCTATATTTTTTTATGTGGTAATGAGGGAAAGGTAAAAGGTTTTGAGCCCCGTCCTCAAGTTGTGCCTAGAAAATTTGTAAGGATGGGGGGGGGGGGAAGGGGGGTGGGGACACCCCTTCCCTCACATGTTTTCTTTTTGTCAACTTCATCTTCAGTCCTCTCATTTGATAATGGTAGAGTGGGATTTACGAGCTAAGACTCAGATGAAAGAAGATGATAATAGAGAACCTTTCTTCTTCTTCTTCTTCTTCTTCTTCTTCTTCTTTTTCTTCTTCTTCTTCTTCTTCTTCTTCTTCTTCTTCTTCTTCTTCTTCTTCTTCTTCTTCTTCTTCTTCTTCTTCTTCTTCTTCTTCTTCTTCTTCTTCTTCTTCTTCTTCTTTTTCTTCTTCTTCTTCTTCTTCTTCTTCCTTCTTCTCTTCTTCTTCTTCTTCTCTTCTTTCTTCTTCTTCTTCCTTCTTCTTCTTCTTCTTCTTCTTCTTCTTCTTCTTCTTCTTCTTCTTCTTCTTCTTCTTCTTCTTCTTCTTCTTCTGTTGCTGCTGCTGCTGCTGATTTTTGAATAAAATCCCGTGCTTTGAAGCCGATAACCTCATATTTAATCATTTAACTGTTATGCTATACAGATATTCTTCTTTCTTCTCGTTCACCTACTGTAAGCTCGAGCAGAAAGTTCCGGTTGCTCGTCCACTTTCAAGACTTTAGTCTTATTCCATAACTTGAATTTTGTGTGTGTATCCGTTTTACAGATCAGAGATATTTGTCTGCAAGTTATTAGTTCTTTACCTCTTAGGTAGACGCACTCCAGCTTTGAAAGAACCCACAATTAGTCGACTCTTACGACATGCTTATTAGGGATTTTCACCACCCCCCCCCCCTTTTTTTTTTTTCACTTTTAACAGTTGGGTGCCGAAACCGACACGGGAAATCCGGACATCAATGTTTCCTATAGGTAAGATATTTACGAAAAAAAAAAAAAAAACAAGAAGAAGAAACGAAACAAACCTCTGAAATTTTGTCGAAGCAGAAATTGATATCGTCACCAGCAAAGCCAAAAAGCTTGTAGATTGCAGTATACTCTTCTCGGTCGATGAAACCATCGTCTGCAGGAGAGCAATTTAAGTTACATTAGTAACTTACCTCACTGGTTATTTTTTATTTACAACAGTGAACTATCGGCGTCTGTGCCTTAGGCGTTGCGAGTCCAACATACCGCGATCGAAACCCACTCCTGGCTGCGTGAATTGTTGTCATGGTATGGGGCGTCGCAGGTCGACTCAACCTAAAATGGGTACCAGGATGGCTGTCCTGGGGAAGTAAAGATGGCCGGCGTAATGCTGACCACATTACCCACCTAGTGCTGATTGGTCTGTTAAAAAAATGGGTGCTCTTTCTATATGCCCGATGCGCCTAAATCTTTACTATACTTACATCAGTGAACTAGGACCTGGCTTGGTGTAGAGGCTAGACGTTCGCCTGGGGATCGGAAGGTCGTGAGTTCGGGTCATGACGGAATCGGATTTTTGTCAAAAGACATTGGCTCCTAGGTTGACCCAGCCTAGAAATAGTATAAGGTATAGTCCTAGGAAGTAAAGGTGACCGGCGTGATGTTGACCACATAACTGATCGAGTGTTAGTTGGTCTATAAAATATAGGTCTAGCTCCATATGCTTGAATGCGTGGAGTGAAAGAAGGTCTTTTACTTTACATCACCCTATTACCACACTGTTAATTACTGCTTATAAAATAACTAATGAATAATTGTAAGAAGACTGTAAATAAAATAAAGGGAATCGTTTCCGCGCCTTAAGACATTTTGGGCATATAGGGCTAGACCTATATTTTATAGATCATTCAACACACGGTGGGTGATGTGGCCAGCATCACACCGACCACCTCTACTTTAGGCCTTGACTTCATTTGTCACATTCGTAGTTAACTGTCCCTTAATGCTGAAGTATTTAACAGAATGTGGTAGTCAGCGTAAAGTCTAACCAAAGTTTTGCTTGCATCTTACGACATACTTGGTGGGGACTTTGTTACTACTGTTTGCTTCAAATCAGGGCTCTGTTTTTGAAACGATTGCCACTGATAATCTTCCAGGTCATTCTGGTGCCTTCTATTTGAAAGTTTTTCCAAACGGTGATGATCCAGACTCATCGAGGTCCCTCTCCTAAAACAAATGGGGTAGGGTGGGGAAGGGGTGGGGCGGGGGAGGGTTTCTGTCTCACTCCTTTTCAATATGATAGGGGTCTACAGCCCCTCCCCCCCCCACCCCTCCCTACCCTCATGCCCCTTTAACCATGAATGGAAGTTATTTTTTTTAAATATTTGCTTATCGATTTAATTTCACGTTATAAATTTCAAATTATCTCCAAAATGTTAGAATATTTATATGCTATTCAGTCTGCTATTATTCTTATGCACTTAATCGAGGCTCAGCGCTCGCCCGTTTTCCTTAGTTAAGGGGTCCAAGGCAGCTCCCCCCCCCATATCTTTGTATGTGCCTCGCTGCGTTGACTCATCGCAAGATAGTAATGGGGCATAATTAACATTCAAAAAATTTTTAACTGGCAGGAAAGCTATGTGATGTTTAAAGGGAATACTTCAGTTAAGGGATTTCTGTGTTTTCTTGTTTGTACTTGTGGTATCGTTGATTTACGTGATGTGCTGGTGAAGGGTCACCAACCACAACGTTCACTTGTTGTTTGTGTTTGTGATATTGTGAAGCGGACAGGTTCTACTTTTGGGTTTGATATCTTTAAAAGACGAAATATTTCTTCATCATACAGAGTTTAAGTACAATAAGTTACAAATGTTGTCTTTATCTGATGAAACGCCGCCTCTAGGTGTTATCTCGGTGTAAGCATTTCCATCTATTGTTATCGATGACCCTAGATAAGGAATACCATACTAGGTTGACAAAATGTCAAGGACACGTTGATAAGATAGGAAAATGGCCAGCCAGACAACATCGCCAAAATCCAGATAAAGCGACAGAGATGACATGATGACGCAATGGGACAAGAAAATTAACAGCACGATGACATGACATTTCGAAAAAGATGACAACGAGACAAGATAAATAACTGGGCAGTGATTACAAAATAACTTTATTGTAGATAATGAACTTCTTCTAATAAACCATGTCGCCTGGCGTTGGCAGTTATAAGCGTGTGAAGGAAAAAATAGAAGAAGAAAGAAGGGATGAAAGAAAGAAAGAAAGAAAGAAAGAAAGAAAGAAAGAAAGAAAGAAAGAAAGAAAGAAAGAAAGAAAGAAAGAAAGAAAGAAAGAAAGAAAGAAAGAAAGAAAGAAAGAAGTAGAAGAAGAAGAAGAAGAAGAAGAAGAAGAAGAAGAAGAAGAAGAAGAGAGAAGAAGAAGAAGAAGAAGAAAGAAGAAGAAGAAGAAGAAGAAGAAGAAGAAAAGAAAAGAGAAGAAGAAGAAAAGAAGAAGAAGAAGAAGAAGCAGAAGAAGAAGAAGAAGAAGAAGAGAGAAGAAGAGGAAGAAAGAAAGAAAGAAAAGAAAGAAAGAAAGAAAGAAGAAAGAAAGAAAAGAAAGAAAGAAAGAAAGAAAGAAAGAAAGAAAGAAAAAGAAAGAAAGAAAGAAGAAAGAAAGAAAGAAAGAAAGAAAGAAAAAGAAAGAAAGAAAGAAAGAAAGAAAGAAAGAAAGAAGAAAGAAAGAAAGAAAGAAAGAAAAAGAAAGAAAGTAGAAGAAGAAGAAGAAGAAGAAGAAGAAGAAGAAGAAGAAGAAGAAGAAGAAGAAGAAGAAGAAGAAGAAGAAGAAGAAGAAGAAGAAGAAGAAGAAGAAGAAGAAGAAAGAAGAAAGAGAAAGAAGAAGAGAAGAAGAAGAAGAAGAAGAAGAAGAAGAAGAAGAAGAAGAAGAAGAGAAGAAAGAAGGATAAAAGAAAAGAAAAAAAGAAAGAAAGAAAGAAAGAAAGAAAGAAAGAAAGAAAAGAAAAAGAAAGAAAGAAGAAGAAGAAAAGAAAGAAAGAAAGAAAGAAAGAAAGAAAGAGAAAGAAAGAAAGAAAGAAAGAAGAAAGAAAGAAAGAAAGAAAAGAAAAAGAAAAGAAAGAAAGAAAAAAAGAAAAGAAGAAGAAAAGAAGAAGAAGAAGAAGAAGAAGAAGAAGAAGAAGAGAAAGAAGAAGAAGAAGAAGAAGAAGAAGAAGAAGAAGAAGAAGAAGAAGAAGAAGAAGAAGAAGAAGAAGAAGAAGAAGAAGAAGAAGAAGAAGAAGAAGAAGAAAAGAAGAAGAGAAGAAGAAAAGAAGAAGAAGAAGAAGAAGAAGAAGAAGAAGAAGAAGAAAGAAGAAGAAGAAAGAAGAAGAAGAATAAAAGAAGAAAGAAAGAAAGAAGGAAAGAAAGAAAGAAAGAAAGAAAGAAAGAAAGAAAGAAAGAAAGAAAAAAGAAGAAAAGAAAAGAAAGAAAGAAAGAAAAGAAGAAGAAAAGAAGAAGAAGAAGAAGAAGAAGAAGAAAAGAAGAAGAAAGAAGAAGAAGAAGAAGAAAAGAAGAAGAAAGAAGAAGAAAAGAAGAAGAAGAAGAAGAAGAAGAAGAAGAAGAAGAGAAGAAGAAGAAGAAGAAGAAGAAGAAGAAGAAGAAGAGAAGAAGAAAGAAGAAGAAGAAAAAAGAAAGAAGAAGAAGAAGAAGAAGAAAAAGAAAGAAAGAAAAGAAAGAAAGAAAGAAAAGAAAGAAAGAAAGAAAGAAAGAAAGAAAGAAAAGAAAGAAAGAAAGAAAAGAAAGAAGAAAGAAAGAAAGAAAAGAAAGAAAGAAAGAAAGAAAGAAAGAAAGAAAAGAAAGAAAGAAAGAAAAGAAAAGAAAGAAAGAAAAAGAAAGAAAAAAGAAAGATAGAAAGAAAGAAAGAAAGAAAGAAATAAAGAAAGAAAGAAAGAAAGAAAGAAAGAAAGAAAGAAAGAAAGAAGAAAGAAAGAAGAAAAGAAGAAGAAGAAAGAAGAAGAAAGAAAAGAAGAAGAAGAAGAAGAAGAAGAAGAAGAAGAAGAAGAAGAGAAGAAGAAGAAGAAGAAGAAGAAGAAAGAAAAAGAAGAATAAAGAAGAAGAAGAAAAGAAGAAGAAGAAGAAGAAGAAGAAGAAGAAAGAAGAAGAAGAAGAAGAATAGAGAAGAAAAGAAAAGAAGGAAGAAGAAAGAAGAAAGAAGAAAGAAAAAAAAGAAATATAAAAGAAAGTAGGAATAAAGAAGAAAGAAAAAGAAAGAAAAAAAAAGAAAGAAAAGAAAAAGAAAAGAAAAAGAAAGAAAGAAAGAAAAAGAAAGAAAAATAAAGAATGATGAAAGAAAGAAAGAAAGAAAGAAAGAAAGAAAGAAAGAAAGAAAGAAAAGATAAGAAAAGAAAGAAAGAAAGAAAAGAAAGAAAGAAAGAAGAAGAAGAGAAGAAAGAAGAAAAGAAGAAAGAAAGAAAGAAAGAAGAAAGAAAGAAAAGAAAGAAGAAAGAAAGAAAGAAGAAAAAGAAGAAGAAGAAAAAGAAGAAGAAGAAGAAGAAAAAGAAGAAAGAAGTGATGAAAGAAAGAAAGGAAGAAAGAAAGAAGAAAGAAAAGCAAGCAGAGGAGGAAGAAGAAAGAAGAAGAAGAAGAAGAAGAAGAAGAAGAAGAAGAAGAAGAAGAAGAAGAAAGAAGAAGAAGAAGAAGAAAGAAGAAGAAGAAGAAGAAGAAAGGAGGGATGAAAGAAAGAAAGAAAAAAAATGAAGAAAGAAGATGAAGGAAATAAGGAGAATGAAGAAGTAAAAAGAAGAAGAAAGCTTTAAGGAGGATGATGGAAAACCGAGGAGTGGGAGAAGAAAAACACAAAATGACAACAAGAAAAATCTTAACAAGAAGTAGAAAATTCTAGTATTTACAACAAGAAAGAATGAAGGCCTTTCACATTTCATAAACACACGATTTATACCTGACGTGTCGTTGGCAAAGAACATAAACTCCAGGTAGTCCTGCTGCCAAGGAGGGAATGTCTGGCCCTGGGCGATCTCCTTGATGTTCTCTTCCCACATGCGAGCCCACTCCTCCTTGCTGATCGTGCCATCATTGTCCTGGAGAAGTTCGAAGACACACAAACAAACACATCAATAACTGAACAGTATTAAAGAAAGTTAACATAGACGATAGATTATTGGACACATTATGATGAGAAGCAGACAATCACGAAAGCAGGTACTGAAATAGGAAAAAAATAGTAGGAGGAAATAAGGACGCCCACGAGTAACAAACTGAGACGAACATTGTGAGACACTAAAGGTGCTGGACTTGGTTCCAGTTCTCTTCGTTTGGGTTCCCATAGGGGTAAAGAGAATGGAGCAACTCTACTCTCCTTTCCTAACAAGCACGACATTAAAAAATCGACTAATTAGGGATGTTTCTTTCGAAGTCCTGAAGGGCGACGAACAACCAGTCATCAAACACACAATCCATATCTGTAAAACGGATGTGCACACAACACTTAAGTTCTGTAACAAAACTAAAATCCAAAAGTAGGTAAGTAACCAAAAGTTTCCCCCCTATGTAACTGCCAGTGAGCGATTAGCAATTAGTGATTAGAAAGGATTATCATCACAGCACTCCGGACAATCCATAGGTGCTCCGATCTCCTCCTCAAAAGCTCCACAAGTGTAAAACGACCGATGACGCCTGGTCTGTGTTGGTTAATGAGACGCCTTGTCCCCTTAGTGAAATTTTTATTTCTTGCAGCCCCAGGCTGCACCCCCATGTCCGTCAGTCTAGGCAGAGATATGGGGTCATGTCCTTTGGCGTGCTCCTCGGTAAGGTAAGTGCAGCGCATAGCATTGATAACATCACTTCTATCCAGTACTCGGCCAGCCATAGCAACCGCAGTGTCAGCAAGATAGTCTGCACGCTCGTTCCCTAGAACACCCGCATAACCTGGCACAAAAGTAAAGGTTAGGCAGATATTCGTGAAGTGCATATTGTTTCAATCCATTCTTGCCTGATAAATCCAGCTTGGGGTTTTTTAAGCATATTCATCGAGTCACTAAGAAAGCATACTTGTGTGAACTTTTGAGTACCAAGCCACGCTAAATCCCTTGTTACAGCCACAGTTTTCATTGTAAGGCTACTAGTTGTAACAGCAAAGGCGTCATTCATCTTCTTGATGGTTTTCCCCCTTGAGCTTACTCTGAAGGCCCATACACTTCGCTTGCCCCTAATTACAGTGAGCGCTAAGAAGAAACAAAAGGCTTTCATTCATGACACCAAGAAGATTACTGGTACTGAAGATGGGGACGGAGCGCTTATTGGAGTGTCCCGAGTGCTATGATGTAGATTCCCAATTCAACATTCAACATTGGGAAGATTACACAGGATAGATCGAAAAGGAGAAATATTCCTGTAAGAGCTTAAAACGGCACTATAGGACGATTACGATGAAAGAAAGTCAATGACTAATTGACACGGCCATATTATATTTCAACTTATCACCATCATCGCCCTTCTCCACGCCCATTGGACATATAGGGCTAGACGTATTTTGTTTCAGACCAATCGGTTCTCGTTGAATGATGTGGTCAGCTTCATATCGGTCACTTTTACTTCCCATGAGATACCTGGTACCCATTCAAGACTGAGTCGATCTGAGAGTCAAGGTAAATTTTGGAGACAGTAATAAGTCCCCTTTCTTTCGGATTTGAACCCACGACTTTCCGATCCACAGGTCAGTGTCTAGCCGTTCCCCCAAGGCGTCTGTCGTCGTTCGTGTGCTGTGCTGATTAGCATAGACCAGACTGTCATGTTTAGCTATCTCACACGATAGCCAGAATCACGGATCAGGTCAGTGCTACAAACTCGTCTTATCCAAAGGACCAAGCCATCCATGCATGTAGCTCATTGCCGTCCCCTTGTTGTTTTCTCACCCTCCCTCTTTAAAAAAAAAAAATTAGTAATACTACTACTGCTGCTACTACTACAACTGCCACTACAGCTATTACAACAGCAGCAGCAACAACAACAACAACAACTACTTCTACAACCACTAGAAAAGCAGCAACAACAACTACTTCTACTACTGCAATTACTACAACAGCGATAACAACAGCTATTACTGCTACAAAAAAAAAAAAAAACAAAAAAAAAAAAAAACTACTACTACTACTACTACTACTACTACTACTACTACTACTACTACTACTACTACTACTACTACTACTACTACTACTACTACTACTACTACTACTACTACTACTACTACTGCTACTACTACTACTATAACTGTAACTAACGAACCCAGAGAGTCTTTATCAATGGACAAAAAAAAGTACTTATAAAAAAACCGACAAGGTCACAAAGTATGGGAAATACACAATAACAGACAATATAGACAGGGTAGCTTAAATGAAACGAAACTATATGGAGTTGGGAAGTCAGAGGGAAATATAAAAATCATTTAACGCAAATTACATTGTGCTGTGCTGAATAAACTAGAGAGAATGTCTTTGGTCTATTTCCATTTACGGCATGCACCAAAGGGGCAGAGGCCACAACAAAACTGAATGATAACATTAGTAAAACTCTAAATCAATAGTATCGGATTATTTCAATCATATTATACATTTTTTTTATTACACCGTATTTTATTATTATTGATATTGTTATTACTAAAACCTTAAGCGTATAAATATTATAGTGGCTGAGCCCCAGAAAAGTTTTTCTTGTGTCGATGTCTTCCGATTTACGTTAACACAAAACGAGCGTGGACTAAAGGAGCGAATGTATGACCCTGTTATCTCGGGTGTCAGTAACAAATGTCCCTCCGCCATTTATCTTCAAACAGCGCCGGCAACTGTCGTCATTGTTTATTATATTCTTGCTTGTTAATGACACTAAGCCTCTTGGTGGTGTTTGGTCACATATTGCCTGCTCATCTTTCTAATTAACAAGATTAATTGGCCTTCAACTAGGCAACCCCCCCCCCCCCCCCCAAAAAAAAAGGATGTAAAGGGCTTTGTACAGACATTTGCGCTGGTTTCATATTTGCCCGAACCAGTCGGCATCAGGGCTGCCAATGGATTTTTTTTGAAAAATCCATCTTAGCTGAAAAAAAAAAAAACAACCAAGCAATACATAGATAATAAACAAAAACAAAATAAAAAACCTAGACAGTTAGGGGGTCAATACAAGAATTTTTTTTTTTTTAACTTACAATGTTAGACCAATTATTTTGTAATGGTCATTTGTAGGGATGTATATTGGTACATTTGTAGACTTCAAGTGTAAAAAAAAAAACATGGTTGCCATGGCAACAGCCGCCATTTTGATGAAAAAACAACATGTACTTAGACAGCTAAAATTTCAAATACAAACAGAGGTATTGAGAAACAGATGATCGATTCATGAACTTTGAACCTATGTTTATGGTCAGGTCTAGTTTATTTACTTCAAAGATGTTTCTAAATATTTTGTTTAGAATATTACAATTTAGGTATGTTGAAAAAATACAAAAATGTCGCTTTTTAAGATAAAAATCAAATTTTAAAAACAAATTACTTAATAAACTGTAATTTCAAATAGACCTGACCTTATAATATTGTGTTAGGAGTATCCACACCAAATGTCACGTCTCTAGTCTTTATATTAGCTGAGATTTTAGGAGATCCCACACACAACAAACAGAAAAAAAGAATTGTTAGAAAAGTGACTTTTAAAACTTTTTTTTATCGTAAAAAATCTTTAGTATTAACTTTTCAATGCTAAACTGTTTACCAATGACAAAAATTTTGTGTGTAATCTATTCTACGAATGCCGAACATTACAAAAATGAACACATTGAAAAAGTGATATTTTTGTCATAAATTGGGGAAAAAAATGCCGTGTAGTGACCCCTTAAAAAGTACACATTTTATAGTAACGAAACGAAACATTCACCCTCTTATATATAAATATTGTTTTTCTTTAAAAACCCAGATTTCAAGATTTGAACCCAAGGTGTCAAAAAAAAAAATAAAAACCTAGATCTGGGGGTAAAACCCCATCATTAGCAGCCCTGGTCGGCATACGATAAGTAAGGCGGTCAACAACATGCCGGCTAGGATATTTCCTGGCACTCATTTTGGGCTGGGCCGATCTGTGGGCCAAGATCGAATATTTTTAATCTGCTTCTTACAAATTCAAACCTAAACTTTCGGACGGCAAGGCAAGCGCCTATCAAGGCAAGTTTGCAACTATTGCTGCACTTCTTACAAAACTTTCTCACTCGCTAAGCGTTGACAACGTCTAGAATGCAAGTGATTTTAAAATATTTTCAAGTTATATCTTCTGATTTGTTGACCCCATTATAAAGCGATGAGATAAGTTTCGGAGGTTAAATCAATAAAAAAAAGAAGCCGATCTCTTTTTCAACCAGGTGCAATGGTCAGGCGCTCGCCTACTGGTACGAAATTCTTGGTTCGCATCCTCATTGTGTCGGTATTTTTCAAATAATTGACCTTGGATGCCAGTTCAACTCAGCCTCAAATGGGTACCAGGATAATGTGCTCAGAAGTAAAGAAGGCTGGTTTTATGTTGACGACATCACACACTGATTGCTTTTAATCCTTAAAATATGGTTCTAACACAATATGCCTAATACTATACGGACAACACTTTACAAGAAGCGAAGAAAGCTGCCAGTTTGTCCACCCTATGTCGAGAGAACCATGGTAGCACATGACCGACTCTGGCAGCAATACCTTGTACCAAATACGCGGAGAAAAAATAAATCTTATTTAGTGAGTAGTTCGTTAGACTGCAGCAATAAACATGAATAACACATTCGCATTACATCTATGAAGGTATGATACTAAAACAAGACAGTCCCCTATAAGAAAAAGACTAACGACATTAAAGACGTACGAAATAAAAATAGCCAGTGTTACATATCGGAAGTGTAACCATCGCCTAGTGACAGTCACTTGTCATAGATTTTCTCAGTAAGACGCAAGCCTTCGAAATACCGCCCCTAAATGGCTGCATGTTCTCGAGGCATTGTGTCTGCCTCGGGTGCTAGAGGTTCTGGGTTCAATCCCCGGTAAGGGCTGGGATTTTTGCAGTCTATTTGGACTTTTAGTAATCACCACCGGTCTCTGGTTAGTGAGATCGGACGTCTGTGTGCAATGTTGCGCACGTAAAAAAATCTCTTGGCATTTGGAGATCAAAAAATAGTAGCCTAACGGCGCTGCCCGGGCAAAACTTTGAGTTACAAAATCTACCCAAAGTATTTCAGGAGCCTGTGCACTGTGCTGAGCTTCTTCAGACGTGAGTTAGAATAAGAATGGAGCACTTATGGGTTACTACCCGTGTGCTTTGATGTTGATCCGTTGTTAAAACCTCTAACCTCAAAACCTCCCCTAATAGCTTCGCGTTGTCAGATCAATTGTTCAAACTGTATTTTGATTTCGCTGCTCATGTCATTCCACTTATGGTACCGTCTGATTCGGTCGCTTCTCTTATTATATCACAGTTTCAACCCCTACAACCCAGTTATGGCCACTGATACTCCACAGGGGGGTATTTATTTCCCCCAGCTGACACGCGCGGTCATTCTGCTGAGTAACAACCGACCTGGCCGCATCGTGATACCAGATAAGTGATTTTTGTATCTATGTAGTATTGTTTATTTTGTGTGTGCTGATGAAGGCTCAATAGCCGAAACGTTCACGTTTTGTTTGTATTTGTTATATTGTGAAGCTTGCTAATATACTTTTCGATCGGGTTTATATCTTTTCTCTGTATCACGACCCTACTCCTGGTCGGTACGGCAGTGTGATTACAAAAATAGGAAGAGCACGCACTCAGAATAACTATTTGTTTAAAATACAACCAACTCTTTCACAAAGCATGGCCGTTAGTAGATAATAGTATGAGAATCAAGACATAACAACAGCCATTCTGTTCTCGGGATAGAGCATAGCTTATGATCTCAGAAATGGACAATGAACAACAAAAGAGCTTAGTCAGACATTTGTGTCTGTTAACTGTTGCGTCAAACAAAGGATTTGCTCTTAAAACGTACCTTGTCAGCTCTTGACTGTAGTCCGGCCCAGATTCTGTTGATTCGGTCTTGTTCTTTTAGAAAGGCAGGATCAGTTGGCGCCCAGTTGTGCAGTTTGGCAATTTTCTAGAGCGTCAGGGGGAGATAATTAACATGGTCACTGTTATCACTGGTTACCTACTGCGTTCATTGTAATATTTATTCTAGCAGCCTATTGAACATATGATGCAAGGGTAGGGTGACCGTAAGTCCCGTTTTCACCTGGAAAGACCTGTTTTTCAGGTGCGTCCCAACCCTCCTATCAGTAATCACTCTCTCACACACACACTCACACACACACACACTCCCACAAAAGTCAATTGCCCTATTCTGTAACAGGTCTAGAAATTAGCCCCAGAATAAAACATCCAAGTGAAGTTATATATATTGTTTCAGATGCTTTTAAATGCTTGAAATGTGTTTATGGACACTTACAATGTAGTATTTTGTTTTCCTTAGTCCAGTTACAAGCATATTGTTTTGTTTATTTTTTGGTGAAAATGGTTCGGGTTTTAATACCATTATTCCCTTTCACTCCGGTGACCTAGGAAAACATGTGGCGTGGTTAAACAGACTGCTTTGGATGACCAGTTTCCAGCTCAAATGTCAACGGGATGTGTTTTCGGCTCAAAATATTATGGTTACACAATGCTGAAGTTATAATTTTCCGTACCAGTCGACATCACACTGACCGTAATCAATTTCCCAGGATCTCCAAGTGAGCTCCGATGCCCCACTTGGGGGGGGGGGGGCGGCAAAATAAACCCATTGCTCCCCTAACAAGCATGTCGTAGGAGACGATTAATTAGGGGTGTTTCCTTCGAAGTCGGAATACATCTGCCTGAGAAGCGACGAACCACCATTGTGCAAACATATCAGCCAGATCAGTGAAGCGGAGGTGCACGAAAACGTAAGTTTTGGAACAGAACCAAAGTCCAGAAGTGGATGAACAACCAAAACGTGCAGGAGTTTAGGACCGCTGAAAATGGGAAAAATAACAACATTTTCCACGATACTACGAAAAAAAGTAAAGGTAAAGTAAAGGTGCCTTTTCGACGCCTTTAGATTTATTGGGTATATAGGGCTAGACCTATATTTTTATGGACTAATCGGCACTTGGTGGGTGATGTGTCAGCACCACGCCGGCCACCTTTACTTTCCAGGACTGTACCTGGTACCCACTTAAGGCTGGGATAACTGACACAACAAGTTACATAGTCTAGTTACATACTTATGCGCAAGTGGTTCAAATCTAGTGCTCTCTAACTAACCGCTTTCTGCTAGACAACGTTTTGCTTTCACTCAAAATGTGACAAATTCAGAAAACGTGGAAGGTAAAAACCAAATATTTCAGCCTGAAATGGGGGAAATATTTTATTCAGACAGCGGGAAATATTTCCGTCAGACAGTCTGAAATATTCTGTTCAGACAGTGAGTAATATTTCAGTCAGACAGTGGGAAATATGTCATTAAGACATTGGAAATATTTAAGCCAGACAGTGGGACATTTTTAATTAAATCAGTGGGGGAATATTATGTTTGAAACAAACAGCAAAATATTACCTGTAGCGCTTCTTCGAAGTCAGCCTTCTCAATAGTTCCATCCCTGTTGGTGTCTGAAAAAATATTGTAGACAAATATATTATGTGAAGTGATGTCGTGTAAACAAAAATAGCGCGTTACACCGTGTTATAAATATGCGGAAAAGCAAACAGAAGAACAACAGGAGCACACAATTCAGTCCTCATCGATGACTTTCAGTAAAAAGTTACGATAGTCTACACGGACATCGCAATGAGGGCATGCGATCAGTTCAGTTTTAGACGAAAGTGAAGCAACACAAAGAAAGGAAGGGTGGGTGGTGGGGCGTGGATAGGGGGGGGGGACGAAGACGAGTAGATGGAGGAAGAAGAAGAGAAAGGTCTAGAAGAAAAAGAAGCACAACAATAACAAGAAAAACCAACAGTCAGGGGAGACGAACCCCCCCCCCCCACCTCCCCAATGGAGCTAAATAGGAATTGGGACCGGTTAGGAGAGGGGCCCTAACCCCCCACCCCCCCTCTCAGGTTACGACGCGTATGTCAACAGTAGCAGAAGTACAAAGAAGTAGAGTTGATTCAAGAACCGACATCGCAGCGCTAGGGGCATTCCCATTCAGTTCTCGGAACCCTTCTTCAGCAACCAGCCAACAGAATTTTGCACCTTTATCATGTTGGACGCAATTTTTATTATTTTAAGGCCCCACTCCGGCTGTAGTCGGGGGCCATAAAATAGCCTAACTGTTGAACGTGGTTTCTGGGACCTGTGCCCCGGTGATTCTCACCCGAATGGTGACACTTTGTGACACTGAGTGTTGGTTGCTTGTTGTACAGGCCTGACGGGGTTGAATCACATGCACATTCAGCAGCCAACGTAGAGTTCCAGTACTAATGTTGAACAACGGATCAACATTATGGCACAGGCTAGTAACCCTTAAGTGCTCTGTTTTTTCTTTTAACTCAAGTCTTAGTCTGGAGAAGCTCAGCACAGTGCACAGGCTCTGTAGCACCAGTGAGGATCCTGAAATACTGTGGGTAGATTTTTAACTCAAAATTTTGCCTGGGCAGTTCTGTTAGGCTACTCTCTTCGATTTCCAACTGCCAAGGGATTTTTTACGTGCGCAACAATGCACTCGGGCGTCCGATCTCACTACCCAGAGACCAGGGACAATTCTAGAAGTCCAAGACCAAGTGAAAAATAACCGGCCCTTACCGGGGATTGAACCCGGAGCCTCTAGCACTCGAGGCGGACACCATGCCTCGAGACCACGCAGCACACAAGGAGTACATAGATGAAAGGAAAGGAACAAGAAGCTATAATAACAACAACAATATAAAATGAGAAGAAGCGCAGAAACAAAGGCAGCAATAGCAGTTTTAAAGAGGAGAACAATAGAGAAAAACAAACGCCAGCTTTTGAAAGACTTCTGAAATGATTAATAAAAAAAAAAAAAAAATTAATATCAGTAAGTTTTGTATTGTCATTAATACTCTGTAACACGGAGCTGTGTGAAGAAATTATCACAGACAAAGACGACAAAGCGCATCTAAGGAGGGGAAAATAATTAACAAGTAGAAAGATGACAATTAACAATTTATTGATTGGCAATTGTTTTGTCGTCATATTTCGACAGAAGCATTTCCTAAATTTTAAAGGCAACACAATCTGAAACAAATGATTCTCTTGCTGCTTAGTTCTTTATAGGTTTTTTTTTTTACAACAAAATCGATCAACAAACATGACTGGATGGTATTTCACTGTGCTGAATTAAATCCAGTCTTTTGGATGTTTCTGTTCTATCTGGTTGGAAGGCAGATAATTTGGCTAGAATGAATTAAATTAAGTTCTCGTGATCCGAGGTGCGACAGTGTTCGTCTGTTTTATACAAAAAGAGTCAAGCCAACTCTTGATGGCCATAAGATTTGTCGAATGTTAGCAAAGAGCCCTTCTCAGGGTATTGTTGCATCGAACATATTGTGGTAGATCAATTTTTCTGATGATGATGACATCAATTTCCATTTCTGCCGATAAGCGCTAAGGGAGGGAGGAGCAGTTTGCGATCCATTGCTGGAGGGCAGCAATAGCTCTTGTCATTCTATCTCGATATAAATGAGTCTTGTCATTCTGTTTCGATATAAATGAGTCATGTCATTCTGCCTCGATATAAATGAGTCTTGTAATTCTGTCTCGATATAAATGAGTTAGTTGCGTATCCTTTACGGAACGTTGCAGAACACACCCCAGCTGTTGTGGTTTTTCTAGGCAAATTTTACGTTCAGTAGTTTGCCATTGCATCTATATTTCTTCACATCTTTTTTCATTTACTCCACTGAGCTTTCTATTATTTGCTTTAAGTACTCCTTGTCATCAGCCAGACTGAAGTCTCTCCCTGTTGTCACCAAAATTTGTTATCGTAATTGTTCTTCTTCTTTTTGTTCTTCTTTATGTTCTTCTTCATGTTCTTCTTCGGATTCTTCTTGGTGTTCTTCTTCGAGTTCACCGATTGTAAATTCCGGCCGAATGTTCTGGTTGTTCGTCCACTTCTAGACTTTATTCATATTCCAAAACTTGAGTTGTGCATGCACACCCATTTTTACAGATCTGGAAACCGGAAGTTAGTCGACTTTCTTCACCTACAATAAGGTCCCGTAGCTTACTAGGGTCGATAAGAAATTACAAAATAAATTTATGTGAGTAATATTAGGAGCGGCTGGCCGAACGGTTAGAACGCTGGGCTCTGAATCGGGAGGCCTGGGTTCGAACTCTCGATAAGCTAGGGATTTTTTTCTGTCGGGGGCAAAATGAAATCCTCACCTGCAGAGTCCTGGCGACAGCACTAGCCATGCTCAGGCTCAAAGACCCTGCCCCCTCCCTTGTCGTATACACCCCAAAATGGCAGTAATTGGCAGTTTTTTTTTTTTAATTATTGGTGAAAACATGTGATTGGAAGTGTCGTCAAAAAAAAAAAAAAAAAAGATAGACACTGCATGTGTAAAGTAAAGTAAAGGACGCTTCTACACGCCTTCAAGCGTATTGGGCATATAGGGTTAGACCTATATTTTATAGACAAATCGGAGCTTGGTGGGTGACGGGGTCAGCATCACGACGGTCGCCTTTACTTCCCAGGACTGCACTTGTTGCCCACTCAAGCCTGGGTCGACCTGGCAAGCAATGTCAGTTTTTAAGACAGTCGGGCTCCGTCAGGACCCAAACCAACGACCTTCCGACTACACCACGGCGACCCACACTGCGTGTGACCGTAATGTAATCCGTGAACCGAAGAGCAAGAAAACAAACTTATCCATCCGACCTCTGACCCCACACACCCCGCCCCTAACAAGTTTAAAAGAAGAAGAAAAAAAAAAGAATCAATAGAAATGAACATTTTGTAATCAAGGGTTCATTTAACTGAATCCTTTAGGTCTAAGTTCAAACCCTCACATGCTGTATGTTAGCAATTAACAACACTACAATAAAAATGCCCCACTTCAAAGGTCAGAGCTTGGTGTAGGCAATTACCCACATCTGACCTGGGAGGTGCGCGGTCGTTAATTACAGACAATACCGCACTGGAAAACAGCGGATTACGGACAGGGAAAATGATGTGCTTAAATAATTGAGCATCTGCTGCTGCGTTGTCCATGTGACAGTTTCGAGCTGTGTAATGTTCGAAGTGGAACACAGAAGTTTCGAGCTGTGTAATGTTCGAAGTCGAAAACAGCAGTTTGGAGCTGTGTAATATTCGAAGTGGAACACAGAAGTTTCGAGCTGTGTAATGTTGGAAGTGGAAAACAAAAATTTCGAGCTGTGTTATGTTGGGAGTGGAAAACAAAAATTTCGAGCTGTGCAATGTTCGAAGTAGGAAAAACTAAAGCAGTTTTTGAGATTTCAACAATCATTTAGAAAATGTTGGAAAAGATGGAGCTTTGCAAACTGAAATGTCAAGAAAAGATTCTTAGACTAAAATGGGCAATGAAGACTACTGCCATTTTTACTGTTCTGAACAAAGTGAACCTGACAGATGCTCTATTCGTACCCCATCTAGGCTGTCAGGTTCGCTCTCTGTGTGTGCTGTCAATGCCAAACATGAACTGTCGTAGAAAAACATAAACGCCGAATGACAACATGAGAGATAATGCGTATAAGGATTGCGATAGGGGGAAAAAGAAGACAGTCACAAACAAACACACTCACACACACACTCACACACACACACTCACGCAATCTCACAATCTCACACACACACCCACACACTCACACACACTCACACACTCACACACACACACACACAAACACCTAAGACACAGTATCGGTAAATGATTTCACAGAACCTTAAAGAATCAAATGGTTCGGTCATCTGGTTAGAATTCAACAAAAATCAGCCAGCAGCTAGAACGTACTATCTCAGAACAGCAGGCTTCAAGGCACGAGAACCAGTAGGGAAGTAAAAGCGACAGTTCGTAATATGACATTAACACAAACTAGGCGACTAGCAAACGACAGGAAACTATTCCCAATTGTATTATATGACACATTGTGGAGGAAGCAGTAGGACAAAAGAAGAATACGAAAACAAAGAAGACGACTGGTTAAAAGAGAGTATTATCGTCATCTGGGAGCCGTGCTAGCGCAGTTGATACGAGACTTGCTTTCAAATCCAGCTGCGACTCGCTGCAGCCCAAGGCCGATGTTCGAAACCTGGCGGTTCCTGTTGTCACCTAGCCTCTAGGAAATGGGTACCAGAGTTAATACTCTGGGGTAAATGGAGGAACGTCACTGTAGCTACGGAGTTTCGTGCGGACGCGACACGGGCGGACAGTTTCTTATCAGCTGACTGTACTGGTGGCAGAGCACCTATGGTTTATAACCGTGTGCAATGACGCTGGTTCACATCTCCCGACATAACATTTTTTTTTAAAATTCTCATTATCATCATCATCTGCATCTTGTTTTGCTGTTATACGTCACACAGGGTTAGGTCTGGTTATCCATTCCATTCTATCCTGTTTAAATCCTTGTGATATCACGAATGGAGTCTAGACTTGCACTTTGGCTCATCCTCAGTCGGAAATTACAG